TCGCCGTTTTTTCTCCTTATCCTTGTTTTTTTTTAATTTTGGAGTCTTGGGACCCTCGATGAAACTCGGTGATGCGCCCTTAGCTGGATGCAATGATATGGCTTCCTGAGAAATGACCAGTAGAATCAACTCAAAGTGTTATTCAGTCTGATCTAAAATGTACAACGCACATGTACACTAACGATGTTTTCGGATACTGTTTTTGACTGAGATGGTGGATCCTTGTCTTGTGGCTGAACAATAAAATCTCTTACTGCAACCGCAGGTGCTTCCTGTGAACGACAAGTTAGATTCTGATAAACACCTTTTTACAGGGAAGTCAAATTTCTGCAATAAACAGAATGATGACCTCGTAATGATAAAAACTTACAGCAAATAGGTCAGTAGAAGGCGCTACAACAGGGTGTTGTTGCGTTTGGTTAGAGGGGATAATATTTGCTACAGGGGAACGATGAGAAACTGCTGGAATCAAAGCTTCTGAAGTCACAGATGGCTTAAACATCACTCGTGGAGCAGCAGTTAAAGGAGTGGACTGGCGCGGAAGCGTGGCAGGAGCGAACTCAGAATCTAATGGAATGTTTCTATGAGAAGCGGATCTAAAAACAAGAAGGTTTAAAAAAAGTAGGAGTGTACAGATTAGGAAAAAATAGCTTCCTCACGTTTCCGCGAACATTGTATGGTAATATCCACTGGTTATTTTGTCATTTTTCTTCCAATCCGATGCACCAATTTTCGCCGACTTAATGAACATTACGTTTAAAAAAGGATATGGCTACAGTATTACAAGTTAGCAAACAACTAACTGCAATAAACGAAGCCTAGCATGCTTACCAAAACTGGCGAAATTTTTGGTGTCTCATCGGAAGTAGATGTAAGGAAAGGATTTGTGCCTCGACCTGATGCAAGGGGGACAAGATTTGGATCAATAAACAGTGATTTTACTGGACCATTAAATCGATTTTGCTGCTCAGACAAAGAAACTGCACCGAAAACTTCCTGAAACTCGTTAATTATACTTCTTCACTTAAATATCTTGTGACGTCATCTCATTAGTTAAAAAACAAAAAAAGTTATGGATCAAAAAGGTGGGACAAAACTGAAGTTTTAGCTAGTATTTTTTCACACAATCAGTTATCTCACTAACATCTTCACCATCATCTAGCCCATCATCCTCAAGAAGGGGACGACTGCCTGTACAATCGTCATCGCTAGCTAATCCAACCACATCGGTATGTTGTGACGATTCGCAATCGTCTTTGAACTCGTCATAGGAGGACTCCTCATTCTTAAAAGGAATATAACCAACCATCATCGTTTAACTACTGACACATTCGCGACTACGCCCGATTTTAAGCGGAGCTTATCTGGTACGAGGCTTAAATTTATACCTCACATGGTGCGCATGGTCCGTTGTCATTACCTCAGCAAAAAACGGTGCAACAAAACAAATAGTCGAAAACAGAGTGCGTTGAAATTCGAGACGTGCTGTTCAGTTTCTCCCATGAATGCATCGAAATCAATGCATTCAGTCGCGAATGTGTGGGGCTGTGTAAATAAATAGCCAGGTGGAAATAATTGATAAAGAACACCAGACGAACTGAACCAACCTTACTAATATCATCGGTGCTATCATGATCTGTTCTACCACGGCTATCACTACTAGCATCGTCACCTACACCATCGATATGTTCATAGCTAAAACGCCTTCGTGCAACCATGCGCTGCTCGTCGTGTTCGCTGTCTTCTTCCTGTAAAAACGAGTCATCAGTGGTCTGAGAACAATAAAACATTTGTATGGTAGCAAATTAGTATGTTCAGATACTAAAAAACTACTGTGCTAGAAAGAGGTGTTGAACAGGCGAAAAAGTTATGGTCACATACTGATCCTTAATGTCGTTTTGAAAACCCATTTTAATATGTTCAATTCAAAGTGTTCAAAGACGTGAGCTGATAGGCCAACCACGTCAATACTCCACACTATACACAGAGCGCTTGAGCGATGTGTTCTGATACATAGCCGACACTCTCAGTAATTAGCCGGAAGGCGAAGTTCTGATCTTCGAAATCTGTCACATTTTCGAGATTCAAGAAAACATACATCGATGGGCCGGTCACATAATGAAAATAACAGACGACAGATGGACGAAAAGAACTGTAGAGTGGACTCCACGAGAAAGCAAACGTCCCCTAGGACGGCCATCTACACGTTGGGTGGGCGTGTTCGCAAAAAATGTTAATCAGCTGTACCCACAGCAGTTATTTTACAGATCACGGTACTCGGCTCGGACGCGTTGCCATGCTCAAACAAAACCATCACTATGGACGACGATTGCGAGGGAAAGAAACGAATGGCAAATGTGCTGGGGTCCGCACAACTCATGCGGACGGACCATCTAAGTATTCAAGTAATATGCTCAATATCAACAACATATACCTAGTACCAACCAAATTCCAGGTTTCTGCAGCAGTCATTTTTCAACTTTTGTTGTCGAAACTCGCGTTTCCGGCTGCGAAGCGACTGCGGATACTACACGATACGAGAGAATTAGGATAGAAAGTTTAAGCCTTAAACCAAAACTAGTTCCCATCAATTTGTTAGCGCTCCTACGTATAAAAGCAACCATATTTTGAAACAGGGTAGTGGTGCTGATGGATCCCTTGATAGTGGCACTGGCTCTTATAGATAATCATAGACGGTCAGGCATTCGTCATTAACCAACCCCTGAGAGATGCGCCATGCAACCAAATTCGTTGGAAATAACAGAGATGACTGGATGGATATTTGGTCCACATGACTTTGCCTCCTGATTTTGAATTATATCAGTGTTTTTATCCTCCAAGAAAAATATGGTACCAAACTGGCAATTCTGGAAGGATGAATGACTGTATTTGCTGGTGACGTAGGATCAAACCAACAGTAACGTGTGTACTTTATTACACTTCTATCAATTGCGCAACACACACCCGTGGCTGTTATAGGAAGATAGCAAAATATCCGACTCCAAATCTGTTCCAGAACAAAGATACCATTATACAATTCATAAGTCTCAACAACGGTTTACCAGTCTTTGGCGGCCAGACGTTAGCCCTTTCACGAACGGTCGCCATTTTCGCGTGGTTGGCCCATCGGACGGCATGTCATTGGCGTGCGCTAGAGGTGCGCATTGAAATCATGATGTACGGTCGTGAAATGGATAAGAGTCGAATCAAAGTATGTGGGACCATATTAACAACCTCATCGCATAAACCACAACGTCGTCTGCAAAGCGGTTTTTGGATATTCCTTATCGTATAAAATATTTTTTTTTTCGAACAATAAAAGTCACATATATGGTGGTAGGCTATTAAGAATCATAAATGATTCATGTGGTCCCACGTTGCGGTCCCATGTACAAAAGTAAAGGAATCGTATCATCGTGAAAGTGTTCATATTCCATTGGATTTTAACTCCAAAACAATATTTCAGAGAAAAAAGAAATAATACATAAATCGAGGAAATTTTTTCAGAAGTATCCCAAATCCTCTGTAAGGAAAAGTTGATACCAGTTGATGGAAAAGTCGCGCAGCAAGAAATAATTGAATTTGAAAAAAAAAACCACGGAGTAAAGAATACAACCTCCATAACACAGAGCTACATAGAACTACAAGTTGTAGATTAGGAAGAAACCTTACCATAGCCGGTTCATGCAAATCAGAAGCAGATCCTACAGAATCAGCACCGTCTTGAGCATGAATTCTGGTTTCAACTTCTTCTTCTAAAAACATGAAACTTAAAAAAAAACGCTTAACATAGAGATTATGTTAATGAAATGGGGCCGAAGAAAGTACGAGAGAAAATAAATATAACCTGAACGAACTGAAGCACCAAATGGAGTAAAAGGTGCTGCATCAAATGGATTCGTAGAGTCGATTGACGAGCTATCAAAATCGCAAGAAGAGTTCCTTTGATTGGATCCTGTGTAGATAGAGGAAATTGACTTCTACAACACTTCATAAAAACTTCAGCAAAATAAAACTATTACTTAAATGAAACGACATCCTTTGTAAATGAAAATATGCACTTATCTGTATGTAAAAAGTGTCAAATTAAGGTAGTTGGGAAAGGAACGGAGGAAAAATTTTCAAAATAATACAAATATCTTTAAAAACCAACTTCAACTAAGCATCGGCAAAAATAATCAATACTTTCGCCGATTACTAAGCTAAAAGGAGGTTGGCAAAAAGATACATTATTCGGCGTCTTCACCTTCTTCAGAGCTGTGTTGACCCGTATCGTTGGTCCGCAGATGTTCGTTGTTGCGATGTGGTTATTCTTTTTCACATTGAGTAGAATCCTGTAGAGGAAGCGTGAAGTTCCCGCACTCGACGGTGGCCTTCTATGCACGAGGGATGTTGACTAACTCCCATACGACGTGATCTGCCTTTTGGCGGAAAGTGCATCCTGCAGCTTTCGGTGTTTCAGAGGTTGCACATATCATGGAACCATTAAACCTTTGTGTGAATAATCAATACTTTTATGGGTTAATAAGCTTTTCTCTTCAATAATCTTCTCTTTTTGCTCATTTCAAAAATCTTTTCATCAAGCTCCTGTAAGCTTAACAATCCGCAAAAGTTTTGACCATGTATGTCAAGAATTAATCACAGATGGTTTATAGGATATTGCCACTCTATGTGTCTGCTATGAAATACCGATAGCTACAGCCCGCCATAAAGTACACCACATTGTACGGCAACTGAACAATATTTGTCTTTCATGAAAGGAAACCGCTGAGAATGAAAACTTCATTCGAGCGGTATTTCTTCCACTAGATTCGGCTCGATGTGACAACGATCACAACAACGACCACCTGTGGTTCAACGACTTGTATCAACGCGGCTTTGAAGAAAGCGAATGAGCCAAAACGTCAGCTGGATAATCCTTTTCACTAACCTCTTTTTAGTTTAATTTCAACCAAAATAATAGAAATAGCACTTACATCCAGAGATCCGACTAATATATTTCAGTTCATATTCAAGGTTAAAGCTTGTTTCACAAGCAAAAAATCAACCAGTATCGTCAAACTTTGCCCACCTAATTCTTTTCCAAGTTTTCGGGGCAACTCATCAAAACATTTTCCAAAGTGGCTATCATCCATTGTTTGGTTGCTGCGGAAAGGTGCGGCTAGGAAGGGATTCCATGTCTCATGCTACAATATGGTAACTGGTGTAACACAGATTTCAAGACAATTCCACAATGAAACTGTATTATGAACATATTACCCACCATATCTGACGACACACTGTCCAATCCAGAGCTAGATACAGAAGTTTGGTTGCAGGACAAAGCACTTGGACCTTTCCACTGACTGTACGGTCTGCAAAAGTACATCGTCATAGGTACTGCGAAATCATTCCCACCTAGAAGCGAATATAACATAAATTCATTCATTTCTGATGGTCCCTGTCTCTCGTATATTTCTAAGCTTGACTTGATACTTCCATCCCAATACAAAGTTAGGTGACTGAGTTGTTGAATGAAAACCCATCATTAAACTCGTTATTACGCATGAAAGGAAATAAAAAATCGGAAATCGTAGAAGATCTGTTAAGCCGAAGAGGTTTAGTAACATTTAAAACTGGTACTTGAAGGCACTTCGGATGATATGCGAGGTATCGCTTGTGTTTCTGCGATGAGTTTGATAAGTTGGTGCCGCGCTCCCGTCCTTCAATGCAAACGACGTGACTGGAGATGAGGACGCCTCTAAAGCCGAACCAGCGCATTCTGCTAAAATAATACTTTACCGTATTATTCGAGATTTCGGCAAAAACTTATTTCGAGAGAAATAGGCTGATTGCGAAGTAACGATTGCTAAACATGACTGGAATATTTCTGACAGTTTATCTCGTTAACTAAAAAATATTCGACTGCTGAAATACATGCGTAGCTGGAGGACCATCCAAACAAATATCACCTAAAGAGGATCACCCAAAATGAGAAACAGTTCGAAATCTTTGTCCGAAAACCCAACAAGAGAAAATCTGTGCCAGAGCAGAGCATGCAGGTGTGCTGATCTTCAGGTTACTGTCTTGTAAACACCGGAGAAGAATTAAGGACAATACACAAAAGTAGGAATTGGTGTAAATCGAGCACGAGGGATCAAATAACATTCACTCATAATCGAAAAAATTCCGCATAATCGTACTAATATTTGGAACAATATCTCTCTTAGATGCGATTATTTCTACTTAAGGCTATTACGAATATAACACTTACTCATTTGTAACTGAATGAATGGATTGGGATTCGACGTCACATTTGCTGAACTTACATGGACGTGCTGGTTAGCTGATGGCAAAGCAGTTTCTGAGAACAAATGATAGGTATATAACTGACTCGAGATAAACTAAGTATAGAAATAAGACGATTTAACCACAACGCTGCTGAGATATTGGCAAAACTCTGGACCGCAGGTGTCTATGGTGGGAAACGAACGCGCTATTGTCCTTTTCGGGGAGTAACGCGATCACCACCACACCAACACCATGCGGGTCCTTTGTTTCGCCTGTCTCTCAGCTATTTCTATCGATCTTTACCGCAGCAATCACCCGTCAGCGGGATTGATCTGGGGCGCCCAAATCGGCATAGAACCCAGTTAAGCTGCGGCTGTAGTTGAAATCACAATGTTATACCTTTTTATTTTCTGCCTAATATAATTTCGCGGCAGGGTACTATATCGATATCGATAGAAATAGCTGAGAGACAGGCGAAACAAAGGACCCGCATGGTGTGGTGGTGAACGCGTTACTCCCCGAAAAGTACAATAGCGCGTTCGTTCCCCACCATAGACACCTGCGGTCCAGAGTTTTGCAAATATCTCAGCAAAGTTGTGGTTGTATTTCGCTTAGTACCCTGCCGCGAAATTATAGTAGGCAGAAAATAAAAAGGTATAACATTAAGACGATTTAGTTAAAAAGTGCATACCCAAATCGGTAAAGCCTAAATCAGATGGCATGATGGAAGTGCATGAGCCCTCAGTAGAATTGCATTTATCGCCTTGGTATGGTCCTAGATATAAGGACTGCAGAATATACAGAAAACAAGACCGATCAATTTTAGCATCTACCTATACTTGAAAACTGCTGACATTTGAGAAAACGGAAATTACCTTACCGTTCTCGGATTCAAATGAAATCCTTGCGTCTTCATTTGAAATTGGAGTGACGTCACTCGTTATTACCTAACATTCAACACCTTAATCTCTATGTGAACCAGCAGAATAAAAGTTTGGTAACGATTCCCACTTTTGGATCTGACAGTACTAAAGAAAGTGCAGGAATAGTTGGAATGGGCTTAGGTCGAAGTCGTGGTTGAACCGATGTTGTAAGCAAAGTTGAATCAATGGTTGGTTTGACGGGAGAGAATGATATAATCGGCTCGGCTGAAATTTACGTCTTCGAAATTAAACTAGTATTATCAAGTATCTAAATATTAATTAAAGGCAATATTTTTTACATCATGTCTTGCAGGTAAAAATGACGAAAATATCGTGAAATCTTAGAACCACTATCATGGCTTACGGGATCTCCTATCTTCTTCTATGAAGATCGGAAATCAAAAAAAAAAGAAAACTTCAGGTATTCTAAATTTTATGGGCTTGTTAGAAAGCTCTCCGTGTTGATCAATCCTTAAAGGATGCGTCATGCATTCGACTTCACTAAGCATCGTTTGGAGCTGACTGAATGCATATCTGGCCTTTAAAATGGCTGGCGGTGGCCTACCGATGTATCGAGCCAGTGCTGCCATCCTCCCAGACAAGTCAGGTACCAACTTGCCGACCCCAGAGTGATGGAAGGCTCGGCGGGCCAGGGGCGTGGGAATCAATCCCATCTATACTGCAGGGCGCCTCCGACCACTGCGTCACAGGCGTCGTTTTTACCATTTTTTACTACCTCCCTGTTTATCCGGACCTACTATACAAAGAAATTATGCACAAATAAGAAAAGAGGCACTCGTTTTAAATAAAACATGACAGTAACGTACGATCAACTCGATTCTCTATGGAAACCGTTTGAACTTCACACACTGCCGTTGGCTCGCCATCGAATGAGTATGCATGGTCGGAGTTAAACGCTCTCACAACAGCTGAGAGGGACGGCTTACGACAACCCTTGAAAATCGCGCTTATGACAGAGAGTTAAATAAGATTCAAAACGGCTCATCACAAGATATTCACCTTAACATTTCGTATGGGCAACACTTTATCAGCAGCAGCGAAAGTCAGCACAGCACATTGATAAATAGACGGTCTTTTATCAGCATCGACATTTAGAAGACATTCTTGGAACGAAGTCAAATATTGTTTATCGAGAATAAATCAATGACGACACTCAAAACAATTCTGTACAGGGTTTCAAAACACTAGAAATTCCGTTTCGCCCTAATTGCAGACAGCATCCAAAGCTAGTTTCATGACGCATGGATGGTAAAGTTAATTTAATAAAAAAGGAGATAAGACTTACTTATTAGGGCCTTCAGAGAATCCGAATGTTGCGGTTCATTCGGAAAGGAGAACGCTCCGTTTTGAATAGCCATTGCAGATTCACCAAATGGCAAAGAAAAGTAACATAGTTTGTAGAGCATAATTCCCATAGCCCAAATATCAGCCTTTGTCCCTAAAAGAAACATCTGATATTCAAAATATCGTCGAATTTCTTTCCTTTCTCGAAGAAAAAATCGGCGCAACACCCACAGAGGCTTGAACGATGCCTACCGAAATCTAACCGGCACATGTAACATCTTGCCGGGATGCTCAGCTCATATGTTCCCATCTTCAAGATTCAGGACAACACATATGAACACAGAAACATGGATAGGTCGATCATATAATGAGAAGAACAAATAGATGGACGAAAAGAACTATACAGTATGCCCCATGAGGATGAAGACGCCCCCTTGGACAACGGACCTAAAGATGAGTGGACGTATTCGTGGTAAACGTCAACTATCTGCATTCAGGATTACAGAAAGGGCCTCACGGACGTCAACATGTTTGAAGCAGACCACCATCATCACTGACGATTGCACGATTAAGAAACGAGTGAAAAATTGTGCTAGATCCTGCACAACCAGCGAATACGTACCAACCAAATAAGTATCTAATGGTTTCACTGTTCGAAATTAAAATCTTGACAAAAAAGGGGACAAAAATACGTTTTGTGAGATCCAGAAAGTCAGAGTTTCCTTTTGGCAGAAAGATGTTTGCACCATACCAACAAAGTTCAGCAGATTACAACAGCTTGTATCTCAACTTATAAAGTCCATTTTGAGCTGAAATATTTTGACTTCCAGTTTAAAGCAGCAATTATTTCCGCAACAAATGCATTGCACTCAATGCACGTAGAGCGTATCAACGATAAGTTTTCACATATAAAACTGTGCTATTTTGAGCGAGTTTACACATATTTACGGTGGAATAGCTACCCGTTCTCTACATACAATTTTTAGAAACTACAACTTCAAATGATAGAGTTATTGACGAATGAAATATCAAGCACTTCCTTGGATTCTCATGAATGATTCGTTAGCTACCACTTTTTCTGTTCTGAGGCACCACAACGTCTGTAAACAATAGAGGAATACAGCTTGCAAGCAAGCATCTGACATCAGATCTGTGTTGTTTGAAGCTACTACCATTGGAAGGAAGAAGGAAAAACATCACTTGCCAATTGGCTTTCCACTATACAGATCAATCATTTCTGGCGACCTGTAACTGAGAGTTGTGTACTTCTCCACCTCGTTTTGAAGAAAACTGATGGGATATTGGCTGCTTGACAGCACCTAGAACTCCGTCAACGATGAAACAGAAGATGTAGTAAAACCAAACACCCAATAATTAACCTTTGTTGTAGAACTTCCGAAATCACATAGCACATAAATCGGGGGTCCCGCACGATTTCGCTCATCGATAAGGATGTTTTCGATCTAAATATACGCCAATGAATGTTTATCTGAGTATTAAAAACGATCAATATGTCACAGCTCATGCTTGTTAACCTGGAAAAATAAATGAAAACGAGATACATTTCGAAGTACTACTGTCGAAAAAAAGATGTACGTGAATGATCCAAAAAATCAAACATGGATCAAATTCAAGAATGAGGTAAAAAAAAACACCTCGAATTCATCAGTTTTCGCAACTTACTTTTAGATCTCGATGAATAATCGGAGACACGGAATGATGTAATCTCGCTACAGCTTCACACATGTCGCAAAAAATGGAAAGAACTTCACTAGAACGGAAGCTCTGCCCAAGAAGGAGCCGTTCATTCATTAACTGGAGAACGCTTGCTAAAATACAATGGCTCTCTTAAAAGCTACGCCTTCACGTTCCTTCTGCTTTATGTCTAAAAACAAGCATTTAGCAATGAAATGTGTAATAAGAACAATCAATAACTATAGTAAGCCATTAACAACAAAAACACCAAACGCTGGTCAAGTATTGATTAACTGCATGTGCTGCTTAATTATAATATAAGTTTAATGTATCTCCCTCATATGCCACGGACCTCGCTCATATGAGGGACCTCGAGCCTGTTAGTCGCGAGACTACGTGGCGCGTCCCCAGGTGGGCGGGTAGGGGATTAATCGCGGATCAAAAGCGACCTTTGCTTTCCTGAGACACAGGTGGATCCAGAGAACGGACTCCCTGTTTCTGCTGCGTTGATTGGGACATACTTTCTGTATGTGCTAGGCGTTTTATTGCACGCGTGTGTGGGTGCGCTCTTGCTTATGCGAATTGTATTCTACGAGTCAATTCGGCCAAAAGCCTGCAATCAAGTGACTGGGAAGTATATGGGAGGCGGTTAGAAGTCGCTTCCAATAAATAAGCTCCATGTCCACTCTGGGAGAGCCTGGCAAGCTACCCGTGAGTATACCCAGCCCCCACCTTCAGAGCCCAGGAAGTATACCGAGCCCCCACGTTCAGAGCCCGAAGCTATACGTGGGTATCAAAAATGCTAAACACAGTAAAAAAAAGAACGGGCCTTATTCCCCTGACCCCGAAAGAGCACCAATTTCGCAGCGTTAGATAGAACGAGTACGGAGAGGCTGCTAAAATCTCAGAGCCAATTGAACTATGGTGACGGTCTGTACCTACAATGCATGTACACTTGCATCCTAGTCCTCGATAGAGTTCTTGCTTATGCAAGCAAGAAGGATAAGGTACGTTATCGGCCTGACCAAGACGAGAAGGCGGCAGCCTTTCAACACCGTCTATGACACCGGAGAAGAACTGCTCCTCGGAACACGCAACAATAGAGGATCGGCGGCGTCGGTGTTCTCGTCAACACGAGTTTGTCCATGAACATCGATTCAATCGAACAACTTACAACCCGAATCGGACGTTTACGATTAGGAAGATGTAGGTCAATTTCGGCTTTAACAATCTTCGTCGTTTACGCGCCGACATTAAACTATGACGAAGAAAAAGTCGAAGCGTGCTATATGGACTTGGAGAAGTTCAACAGAGAAGACAAACCACACATTCTTCAAGGTCACCATTGGAGATTTCAACGCCTAGATTGGACGAAGAAGAACGTCTGAAGAACGCCACATCGGGACCTATGGATTCGAATGGAACGAACACGGTGACCAGCTATCTGAGTCTACCATGGCAACCAAGACAATCCATAGTAACTCGCAATTCCAGAAGCCCCACCTTCAGGGCTGGACGTGGGAGTCTCCCAATAGAGAGTACCATGACAAAACAGACCACATCATAGCAAATAGAAGGCTTTGCCTAACCGATGTCGCTGTTGACCCAAAATTCTACACGGAATCGGACCACCGTGTCCTTTGTACAAGATTCTAGTTCTTGCGGAAAAGAGAAAAAGTTGCCAAATTCCAAAACCGAAGTCCCAGAACCAACGTAAACTGGGATTTATTCAATTCATTAGTCGGCCGTTGGGAAGATGTCGTTGTCGATAACACCGGCGAAGAATACGATCCGCTCATTCAACATCTTCACGTTAGCGCTATGAAAGCTGAGAGTTCGAAAGTCACCAAGAGACGTTTGTCCCCAGAAACACTCGAGATGACACGCTAGTGTGGAATCGCACGAGCTACAAGCAACCGCGAACTAACGTCTGAACTTGCAAAACAATGAAGACAGGCGATAAAACAAGATCTTAAAGAGAGAAGAGCAGCAGTAATGGTCCAAGCTGCAGAAGCTGGGAAAAGCATTCGCAAGCCCACCGAAGCTTCGCCAATTACAAGACCAAGATGAATGCACTTTGATGCCTAGAAGAATAAGTTACAGCGTCCAGAAAGGCAATAGAGAAAATCATTTACGAATACTACTCGGATCTCTTCCATAGCCACATCCACCTTCCGTTATATCAAATAAAGGAGGATGGATATGTTGTACCACCGGTTCTCCCTTCCGAAATCCGATATGCCATTTCGTCGGTGAAAAATCGAACAGCACCAGGTCCGGGCAGGATAAGACCAGAACACCTGAAGAACCTTCCGCCAATCTTCATAAACACACTGGCTCGGCTCATCACACGTTACCTGTCTGAAGGCAAGGTCCCTAGTCAGTGCCAGACCAGCAAGGCCGGGTTATTGTTCAAGAAGGGTGACCTACACGATATCGGCAACTATCGCCCAATCTGCTTACTGTCTGTCGTCTACAAAGTTTTCACTCCAGTCATCATAAACAGCATTGACAGAACACTAGACGAAGGACAGCAATGTGAGAAAGCAGGTTTTGAAAGGGTTTAGTACGATGGACCACATTCACAGGGTAACACGGCTCATTGAAGTATAGCGAGAGTACAAAGACCGCTCTGTCTCACTTTCATCGATTTAAAGAAGACCTTAAACTCAACTGAGATAGAAGCAGTCTTGGAAGCCCTTGATAGTGAAGAAGTCCCCATTCAGTACATAGAAATTGTTCGTGAGCTGTCCAAAAATTTCACAACTAAGATATCACCATTCTACTACGATATTAACATTGACGTCAAAAAAGGAGTTAGGCAAGGCGATATCATCTCGCCAAAATTATTTACCGCCACCTTCCAGAACGGCATGCGAACATTGGAATGGGATAATATGGGAGTGAAAATTGATGGTCGGCAGTTACACCATCTTCGCTTTGCTGACGCCATCGTCCTTATAACACCAAACATTAGCCAAGCGGAACGTATGCTTGACGACTTTGATAAAGCCTGTGGAAAGATTGGTCTTCGACTAAATCTCACAAAAACGATGCTCATGAAGAACGGATTGGTTTCACATGCCTCATTTATGCTCAACGGAATGAATATCTCCGAATGCTCCAGTTATATCTATCTAGGTCGGGAAATCAATATGATGAACAACCTAGCTCCAGAGCTGAGCAGAAGGAAAAGAGCGGCTTGGGGAGCTTTCAAGAGCATCGAGGATGTAGTGAAGAAAACGAAGAACACCCGATTCCGTGCCCACCTTTTCGACTCAACGGTACTTCCTACCGTAACGTACGCATCAGAAACCTGGTCGCTGCGTAAGCAGAAAAGGTCAGTCAGTGTTATCGAACGCGCAGTCCAAGAGACGATGC